TCTTGGGAATGGGGTAACTACGGTTATGCCTATAAATATATGTATCATCCTATTTTTGGGTCTTGTGTTTGAAATATTAGTTACTCTTCATCTAGCCTGCTTGTCACTAGTACTTCTATGGAGTACTGACCCCTTCGGGGGCCCTCACATTTTTCAGGTTGAGGCTAGAGTCCTACTCCTGCACCTTTGCCCAGGGTGATCATCGAATAAGGAAGACGTGGTTCGTGCTTCCACTCTTACTTGAAACAATGTAACTGCTCATGGATATTTATACAATGTTTTCTATTAAACTATTTGGGGGCCTGCGTGCCTATGTTTGCCACGTGTGGCTAAACTTCAAACATATTTTATTTCCGCATTTGTTTAAGTTATATTGATGTTGATTGTATGAGTTTACTAATCGGTTTGGCAATAGAATCTATCGGACGCCTTGTATGATCTAATAAGAATGAACTACGTTGTTCTTATTGGGTTGTACGGCGGTTGTCTACGTGGCACGGACGCGGTCCGGGGCGTGACATAAAGTGTTTCAAAATGTTTAGGGCCTATTTACTAACAGAGATGTTTTCCAGTTTTCCAGAAAACTGGAAAACTGGAAAACAGAAAACAGGAAACGTGTTTACCAAAGAAATTCCTGGAAAACTGGAGAAAGGAAAAAAGAAAAACGTGTTTACCAAATCGTTTTCCAAAACGGAAAAAATGAGACATGTCTCTCTTTTCCTTAATGATTTGGAGAAGTGACTTTTACTAGTTTTCCAAATTTGGAAAACGCAGATGCTACAGTGCCGCTGCAATGAATTTGCATACTTACACCTACTGGTGGGTCCGGTCCCGCTTCGATGTCGATTCCATTCCGGTACCTCCATCCTCGTACCCTACCCCTTACCCCTACCCTACCCTACCTACCCTACCTTACCCACCCAACCCAACCCCGCATACCCATTTTTCCCTATAATGACCCTACCCCACCCCCTACCACATGCCCCACCCCGATCCACCCTACCCTACCGCCACCCCCCTACCACCTCAACCCCAACCCACCCTACCCCCACTCGTATATTACCCCTTACCACATGCTCCTAGCTCGGCCCCACCCCACCGCCATCCTACCCCCACCCTCGTACCGCCATCCTACCCCCACCCTTCCGCCATCCAACCACCATTCTACCCCGCACCCTACCCTTCCCCTACCTCGGCCCCACCCAGATCCCGGGCCCACCCTACCGCCATCCTGTCCCACTACCCCTACCTTACCCCAACCCTACCCACTACCCCCACCCTTACCGCCATCCTACCCCCCACCCCCTACCCCTTCCCATCCTCAGCCCCACCCTGGTCTCGGCCCCACCCTACCGCCATCCTATCCCAACTCCATACCCTACCTCTACCTTACCCCAAACCCTACCCACTACCCCACCCTTACCCCTAACCACAACCCTAACCCACCCACTACCCCCCACCCAACCCCTACCCCTAGACCTTACCACCCCACCCCGACCATACCCCTTACCCCACCCCACCCATAACTTCCCTACCCCGACCCCTACGAGTAGATATGGGTGGGTATGAAGGGTTGTGGGGGAGTATGGGTAGAATGTAAGATCATGGTAAGGTAGGGGTCAAGAGTGTGGAATTGGAGAACTGGGTGAAAAAATTGATGAACATGTTTTCAGATTTGAAAATGGAAAACTAAAAAATAGAAACAGAAAATTGGAGATAGAAAAACTGAAAAATAAAAATAGAAAATTGGAGAACGAAAAACAGAAGTAGAAAACAGGAAAATATCTCTGTTAGTAAACATGCCCTTAGTTTTTCTGCCCTTTCCCCTTATTTTTGGTAGCTGGGATTGGGAATTTGAGGATTTTCTTTGTTAACCGAAGTAATCATCACATTCATTCCCATTTGTGTGTATTAGTTTTCGATTTGCCTTAAGACTTGGACACATAAGCTCACTGTGAAGGACTGGATCAGTATGTTGCTCAGTAGGTGAAGAGAGACACAACAAAGCCCAATTTTTCTTCATGTTTGCTTGTGGTGGAGGGGGGGGGGGGGATTATGGGTCTCACAGCAATGACAAATTATATCCCAAACTAGTGTTGGGTGGTCTAACTCCGGTTACCAAAATCGCCATGTATAGGATGCAGGATTACATTGGAGTGGCAATCATGGGACCCAAATAAAGAAAAATCCCATTTTTTTAATAGTGATCAAACTTTTTTATTAATACTCGAATTATAATAAAAAATATTACAAAATTCATAAGTTTTTATTCTCTTCCATATGACACCAATATTGAATATATAAAAAAAATTAACACTTTAAAAATATTCTGCTTTTTAAAGTGTTACACTTTTTTATTTGTATTACGATTATTTTTAAAAATATATCAAAATTCATAACTTTTTATTATCTTTCGTATGACTCCAATATTTTATAGGTTAAAATAAAAAAACAATTTAGCACTTTAAACAAATTTGTTTTGTTGATCTTATATGGAGTACTTTTTTTGTACTCTGATAATCTAAAAATATATATCAAAATTCATAACTTTTTATTAACTTTCATGTGCCACTACTATTTCATACAAGTACATATTAAAGAAATAATTTAGCACTTTAAAAATTTCAATTTTTTAAATTTTTTAAAGTGTTATACTACATCTGTTCCTTAAAACTTTGTCAAGTTTGACCGGCACGGGGATTAATAAAGTAAAAACTGTGTGGTTGAGGTTTGTGCAGAGGAGAGAGAATTAGCTGGAACCAAAAATTCTTTATATATTGTTGGGACATCCAAAAAAGAAAAGTTGACAAAGTTTTAAGGGATGGAGAGAGTAACTCTTTTTTTTTTTGTAGTCTTATTGTTACAAATAATATTTCAAAATTCATAACTTTTATACATTTTACTCCCTCTAATACATGTCCATCTTTCCATTTTGGGATGTTCTCCAATACATGTCTCTCTTTTTATTTTTAGAAAGTTTTTTCAATAAATATACCTATCCACCCTCGTTCTCTTTCCTACTTTTTCATTATCTTTCCTACTTTCACCTTTACACACAACTCACCACACCTTTTATCTTACCCCTATTAATCACTTCTTAAAACTTGTGTCAAAGGCTATACTCCCATCTATTAGAGAACAAAGGGAGTATATGAAACCAATATTTCATGTTAAAAAGTTATTTTTAACAAATGAGGTTTCATATGAGATTTTAAAAAACTCGCAATTTTAAACAAATGAGGTATAATGCATTAAAAGGGATTTATTTCTGACCATGTAATATTAATTTCAAATGAAATGTAATAAAAAGTTATGAATTTTTATGTATTATTTGTAACAATTAGAGTATAAATAAAAAAAATTACAACACTTTAAAAAATAGAAGTTTTTTTAAATTGCTAAATTGTTTCTTTAATATGTACTTATATATACTATATTGGTGTCATATGAAAGCTAATAAAAAGCTAATAAATTTTGATACATTTTTATAACAATCGGAGTACAAATAAAAAAGTTATACTAGTAACATTTTTTAAAAAATGGGATTTTCTAGTAATTAAAAAATAGAAGTCCGATTAATATAAAATTTTTAAAAATTTGTTATAACTTTTTTATTTATACTAAGATTGTTATAAATTACACATTTTTATCAATACCAACTAGATATAAGCATTACAAATTTGGAAACTAGAAACAAGTGAAAAATATGAAAGGTGAATATGATTTTCTTCTTAATTTTTACTAATTCATCCATTGAAATTTTAATTGTGAGAAAAGTTTAAGTTTATGTTTTTTATTAATAAAAGTGAAAGTATGAGATAGATTTGTGAATTTGATGATAGTTGGAGATATATTTAGCTAATAATCCTAAAAAATATACTATCTATTTTTTAAAGTGACTATCTTTTTATATACTCCCTCCGTCCCATTGGACTTTGTCAACTTTCCCTTTTTGGTTGTCCCAAAAAACTTTGTCACTTTCTTATTAAAGCAACTAATTTGTGGTTCTGCACATTTCTCTCTCCTCAGCACAAATTTCAACCACACAGTTTTTTCTATTCTTATTTTTCACCTACTTTGCACTTGGCAAAGTCTACCAGGACGGAGGGAATATTCAATACTGGTGTCATTTGAAAGATAATAAAAAGTTATAAATTCTGATATATTTTTTGTAACAATCTGAGCACATATAAAAAAGTTATGGCATTTCAAAAATAATTAGAGATTTAGTAAAAAAAATCAGAGATTTTTTATTTGTGGGATCCAAGTTTTTTCTTTCTTTGTGCTATGTATTGCTACGTTCATAGTACGGAGTAGCTTTCTAGTTTTGCTCACACGCCTACTATTAACTAGAGTTAACCTAGCATTACTTTGGGAAATAGTTTTAACCACACACTAATTTGATAAATACTTTTTAATTTAACATTATTCTAGTAAGAAACTCATAATTTTTACCCAACATTAATTAGGTAAATACTTTTTTATTTAGCATTAATTTGGGAAAAATATCACAATTTTGTTGTTTTTTATTTCTTTTGTGCGGATAATGTGGAAGGGCGAAGAGGAGACGTGTTTAGTTAGCAGCCTAGCAGTCAAATTTTGGCTGATTTGACTACTATTTTGGAAGTGTTAGTAAGGGTTCGGAAGGGAAGGGAAGTGTAAGTGTTAGGCATAATTTACCTTGTTTGGGAGAGTCAAATGAATGAAGTGTTAATAATGGAAATGTTAATAATTTTACCTTGAGTCAAAAGTAATAAATAATGAGAAAAGATGAAAAAGCCATACCACCAGGCATGCAGCAGAGAGATTCAAAGTGAAACGTCGAAACATTTTATGTTTTTAAGGTATATGAGAAAGATAATAATTGCCCAACACCTCAACACACTCCAAATCGGAGTGTTGGAAAAGTGGACTATTAAGGTGTTTGGAAAAATTATTATTAATCTTCTTATACATAAAAGCAATACAAATTTCTCCCGCCCAACACCCATAAACATCTCTGACCGTTCATCGTCTAAGCTCATCTTCCACCGTTCATCACCTCCATCCATTTCGTTCAGCCGTTCAGGTTTCCCTAGCATCTTCCCTAGAGAACTGAACATCAACCGTATCCATTACTTTCATCTATCTATCCAATCTACGTCTTCAACCGGACCTCCGCCTCATAAAGAGGTTCAGATTTCACCCGATAATGTCGTCCAACTGTCCAAGATTCCAGTTTTCCCAGCCTTCTCTAGGAACACTCACTTCCGATGTTCCCCTGCGTGGCCATCCTATCCATGGCGTATATATCAGCAACCTTCTCCTGGCCATTACACGCATCCATGGCTTCCAGATTCATCCAGGTTCACAAACAAATTTTAAACTGAAAAATATATGAATATATTCATTATATTCTGTATAAAATGTTTCTTTAGTTCTCTCTTGATTTATGTTTATCGCAAAGGTGGGGTTCTTTACAATCACTGACTAATATTCATGTTAACTGAATTAAGAAGCTGTATTCTATGTGGTTATAACACTATAGATGCGGCTAAATCCATATATATTTTATGGGTATAGGTACTCTATATTTTGCATATCTAATGTTTGATAAAATGTTTAGGTGAAAAAAGCAATATGGAAACATTATGTAAAAAATTGTTCCATTCTATTTAATAAGGAATAGTACACAACTTAGCAGTTTATCTACTATTAAGTTAATAATTCTGAACAATATAGTTACACAACTAATATATAGTTCATCTAATGGGCAGTGGAAGTTTTTTTCTTCCAAGTCAATTTAAATGAATCTTGATTCCAGTCATACTAAGCACTATGAAATCTTCTATTGGTTCATCTGATTTGGAATTGGTGCAGTAGCTATGCTTTTCAAACTGTTTTTATTGTCTAAATCTTTTCTAAGAAGGTGTTTTCGACTGAGATCAGATTTATTTCTTTTATAGTTAGATAAACTTGATTACAGTTTTCTAAATTTTACCATGGAGGAGGCATCTCTAACCTGTCCTAAAATATACTTAACATATATACTCCTGTCTCTATAACAGAAGAAAAAAATATGGACAGATTTAAATAAGAAAGTCAAGCATTTGTCATCAAACTCATTAAAAGAAACTTTCAGTCAATTTTCTAACTAAAATGAAATATATATGGACAGTTTTATATATCAATGGGTAGCAGCTAGATTTTAGATTCTAATACACTTTTAGGATAAACACATAGTTACTGTGGCTGATTCAAAAAGTGAATATAATGTAGATTGCACAAAAGAAGCAAAGGCAAAGAAAACCTATAAATCTGAAGATATAGGTTCTTAAATGTGAATAGGAGTGGTTCCTAAACAAAATAAGTGAATGGTAAAAACCAATCCAACCACCTAATTTTTTTAAAAAACCTGCAGACCAACTCACTCTCCGAACGATCAATGCCCCTCATTTACAAATAAATTTCTTTCTTTCATGGTTTTTGTTGTTATAGCTGCACTTTATATATGCATATGGTATTCATGTGATTTTGTGGTGTTTGTTCACTACAAGAAAAGTGTTCAGTTGTGACAGGAGATACCGTAGTTAAAAGGCAGAATACAGTCATAGAAGAGTTTTAACGAGGGGAAAACTCCTGTCACCCCCCGTCACTACTGCTTCCGCGGTTAAAAGTAAATAATGACAGGAATACAATCCCATCATTAATGAGTATGCAATGAGAGTCTATTCACCCTCATTAAAAGGTTCTTTTAATGACAAAAGATCCCGTCATTAATACAACTAGCCACTATAAGAAAACTTTGTGATAGAAAGTACTATCATATATAATGGGTGTGTAGAAGTGTCATGAGATGCTTGAACAAGAAAACATGACAATTTGCAATTATATATCTTTCCGACATCGATAACATCAATGTTACAGAGATAACCAAGTAAGCCAACACATTAAAAACAACATTCAGTGGTACATTTGCCAGCTAAAAGACATAACCAAAGTGAAAAGAATCTCAAAGTAACCACTAAAAAAAAAACTAATACAAGTAGCAGGCCACCAGAACGCAGATTATACCCAATTGTCCAAATTAGCAATCATCTTCAGATTATAGCTTTCTGAAGCAATCTTCTTCTCGCAGATCATATTCAGTTGTCCAAATTAGCAATCCTCTTCAGATTATAGTTTTCCGAAAAAGTCTTCTTCTCACAAGCTTCTGCTAGGTTAGAAGCCACTTGTTTAGACTTGAGACTTTGTTTGGAATATTAATTCCCTAACTCCCAAGGATTGCTAATTACAATGGTCGGTGTAGTGGTCGGTCTTGTTGAATTTAAGTAGAAGCTGTAATTTTCACCCCCTCTACTTCTCGCACTTGAACTTCATCCATAAGTTCCACTCTTTACGCCTAATGACAAATAAATTAAAGAATAAAAAAAGAGAATATGAGAATTAGCAACATTTCTCACAGCATTGCCCTGTAAGTTAGTTTTTCTTTTTCATTACTGTTCAGAACCATCAATTTGTGAGAAGTGCAGTTAAGAGTATTCTGGCCAGAATTTCAGAGAACATCATGGCATAGTTTCAACACCTGCGGCATTTCAACCTATGAGTATATATACACATTTAAGGGAATTTTAATGCATTAGTAAGAATGAAATATTGCTTTACTGGTTAAATGCTGAGAACTCATATAAGAAAATAATCATATCTTAGTAGTGAAAGTATGGAGTTCAAAGATATTGAGTTATAAACATGAGTATACTAAGCACACTTTACTACTATCAGCAGAAAATAGCAACCAGAACAGAAGCTTAGGAAAATGAAATATGAGTAATGTTTTCTAACATTTGTTATTTTTTTTTTACTATATATAATTTAACATCAAATTAAACCAACTGAGCGTCTGAGCTTGGACAATGGCTTTATTTTTTTCTCACTTCTTTTCTTACACATTTCTCCTATAATTTTCTTTACCTGGCAGGTTGAAATTCCACACAGACCCATAAGGAGTAGTATTTTCTAGTAGAAAAACAGAACCAATTTTTTCTTCTCTTCCAAAATCTCCAAACAATAGAAGCCCTGATATGACATACGGAGTAAGAGTTATAGTAGAAAAATGTATTTAAAATCTTACCTTGATTCCAGTAGCTGCCTTGCAATTCTGGAAGTGGGGGGTACACAGAACCTTCAATGAGAGAAGAAAGCAATAAGAAATTCATCAAATCCTAATGGGATTAAAACATTTAAATAAACATTTCAACTGAAATAGTTAGATCAAAAAAGGAATTCCAATGTTTAGCTGATACGAGCATGTAAACCTCAAATGAAATATCATCAACCTAACTAAGTTACAGAAAGCTTAAAGAACATACTTTTGATACATTAAGTTTATAGCAAATAGTTGGTAATGTTTGAAGTCATTTCCCATTATATTATTAGTGGATCTATAGAAAGTTCATGCATTAAAATTATTAGGAACAATGATCCTGTTTCCAAAATTGAACCAAAATATGTAAATTAATTCTATCTGGAATTAACTAGATATATTTGATGGGGGGTTCACTTGTAGTCATCTTTCACTTCTTTAACTATAAACTGATTATTTCTCTTAATCCTAAACAAGCCATATACAATTACAGTTCATAGCTTCTTACTGGAAGACTTAGTAACATCATTAACTGATGTTCCGGGCACTGCATCTGCTGTCATGAGCATTCCTTTCACGCAATTTGATGTATCTGCTACAAGGTGACAAAGTTATGTACAACTCCCACACATTTTCAGATAGATTTTGATGATAGAAAAAACAAAAACCAGAATCAAAATATGAGATGAAATGCTAAAAATCATCCATAAATGAGGGTCACTTGGTGATTTAGCAAATCAACTGCAGGTGAAGGAAACTCACAGTATTCACATGTAGGGATTCTTAGTGGGTGATTCCTCCCTTGTGAACATATATACAGAACTGCTATAGTAAACAATAGCAGATCAAGAGAACTACTATTAGATATAATTCATACAAACCCACTCAAATCACACAAGCACAAGCTCCGAACCAATCAACAATAACTGATATAAAATAGAACATTAAATCTAAACTTTTCAGCTTTCAAGATGATATTTGGATACAGATTATCCATTCATTCCAAATAATTTTAAAAAGTCATTCAATCAGCTTTAGCTCCCACCAATTGAGAACATAACTTATAAAATTGTAGTTTCAGAACATGCAAAATAAATTCCATAACATACATAAGCTTCAAACTGAAAGTGTAAATCGATTTTCGATTTCAATTTCAAAATCATAATTGGTCATTACAATGACTTTCACAACAATCAAAATCCAATAGAAATTGTAAGAGATGTCAACAACAGCAGAGATTGTAATCATAGTGAACTAATTTTAGAAGCTAAATCAAACGTAGAAAATCTTGAATGCATGAGAGAACTGTAAGAATAAATAAAAGAAAAGGGATGTGAAACCTGGTGATTAACTGGTCAGACCACACATGAATGTGAGAACTAGCGGATTAGAGAACCAGGTAATCCAAGAAGAGTCGGAGAATCAGTTAATTCAAGCCTGGGAATCCAAGAACAAACGACGTGAGTCCAGATTCTAACAGAAGAGATGAATCGAATCAAAAAGATAAAACCAATGGTTAGGATATCGGCGATGGCGCAGAGATGGATAATCCGAAAGACGAGGATGAAGAATGGAGATGAAGGCGCAAGCTCCGTCTGTGAGAGTAGAGAAAGAATCTTAGGGTTTTCTGCTAGTTCAATTGGTTAAGCGGGACAGAGCGGGATTTTTTTTTATTTGGCGCTATTGAAAGTATAAGGCGGGTTGCCAAATGCCAATTACAAATAGACAAATAGTGACAGTCATACGTTTTTCAGCTATCAATAATGAGAGTACAGAAAAATAGAAACAAAATTTCCTCATTATTTTTATTAGAGGATTTTTCCCCTCACAAAAGCTTTAGAAATATTATTATTAATGACGGGATTTTTTACCCGTCATTAAATTTCGTAGTTAAAAACTGGTTTTCTTGTAGTGGTTATTGATAAAAATACATATCTATTTAGTTCAATAAATATGTATTTATAAACTAAGGCAAGATAAAGTTTTAGTAATGAAGTAATGCAAGTAAACTTTATCTTATATGCTCACACCAAACTATAAAAGATGCAGTTTTATTGAAGATAGTGTAAAGACCTCTTACTTTATTCTAATATCACACCAGGTACATACTAAACTCAGCCCAACTGCACCTAAAACTCAGCCAATCTCTTAATGCAGCAAGGTTTGAGAATTACCCCAACAGGCAATACTCTTTTCAAATAGTTGGTATTCTGAATAGCAGATGTGATATCCAACATTCAAACTCTTTTATAATGGAGAAGAGGTTGTACATTAGCAAGGTAACTTTTCTTTTTCTAATGATCTTATCAACATTCTCATACCATGTGTACTTTTGGTGGTTCTACTCTCTATTTTTGTATCTGGTTGTTAGTGATCAATATAGTTCCAGTATAAGTAATAAAATAACAGTTACTCTTATTCCATCCAATCCATATTTTATGTTACATTTAGCTCAACATGTATATTAAGAAAACAAAGAAGCGGTTAATTATTTTTCCACTGTAACCTTATCTAAAGAAGAAAAATATGGTCCACCAAGTGAAAATGTTGAGATGGATAAAATATTAAAAGGGTAGAATAAGAAGTCAATAGTAAACTTTCAGAAAGTTAAAAGTAACCATGTGCTAAATTTCAAAGCAAATCGCATCTGATTAAAAGAAATAAAACATTCAATTGTTTTTTTGTGTTTCATAAAAGCATTAAGTAATTACTATTCTCTTATTTCTGTGTCCAAAGTGCATCAACATCAGAACAAACGGTGTTGGAACACGGTGCGTCAGTGCACCCTCCTAATTTGGTTTGTTTATCCTCTATTGCTTCTTTGCTAATTATTTTGATGCTTAAAAATCAAACCCACGAGGATCTTCCTAAGAATCAAAGGAATATGAATTCATCAACTTATTCAACTCTAATGATAGCTTTAATGGAATCCCACGAGGAAGACCAGTCATAGAGGGACGAAAAGGGCAGATTATTCAATTGGACAAAGTAAGCTTAAATTTTCATCCTCTTCTTCACCCTGAAAGTGTATATGAGATTAAAGACATTTCAGATTTTTAATTTTAAATCAATACTTCACAGCCTGCTTGGGAGCCGAGGGTTTGATCAAATATGTGATATTGAGAGATTCTTTTTGTGTTTGTACCTAAAAGTGAAGCACCGATTGTTGCTTTTATATACCTTTTCTTCAGATTTGCTTGAGTAAAAAATCTATAGTTTCCAACTTTTCATGTATCCTAATAAAGCTTCATAATTCACTGATGATAACTTTGGTTAATATTGTCATGTTGCTACTACTCCAGATCAAGTACTTTATGTCATAATGAAGCTGCGCGCTGAAAGTGTTAATGTTATTGATTTGATTAGTTATAATAGCGGTCAAGTAATTGAACATTGGTATCTTTTTAATACAGAATAGCATTATTTCCTTATCACACATTCACACCCGTGGTCTGCTGCTTTTTTATTATTATTTATTATCTTGATATGGATATAGGTGTATCTTTTAGGAGCATTTCTTTTCTTTGAATTTAGGCTCCAGGTAGATGTTGGCCGGCATGTTTCATATACTAACTCTAACTCTGCCGTTATTTACATGCAGCGTACTGAGATTTCATGAAGTAATTAATGTATTAGATTAATGATAATAATTTCTTCGTTTGTTAGATTGAAATAAAGTAAGTAAAAATTTCATGTTACAATGTAATATATTGTATGGAGCATATGAAATATGTGCATTGATTTTGATTTACGTTTTCAAGGAAACACTTATGGGGTTGTTAGTTAATAGTATACTTGACATGATTTATGCAATGATACGAGCAACATGAAAGCATGAAAAGTTGTTTAAATGTAATGAAGATTAACATGTTAAATCTTTCTTTGAAGGATAATTTGATTACAAAAATCTGATCTTACACGCTTACACCGCCCTTTTAAAAGACCTTTTGATAATACGAAAACAATCTTTGAGAGAAATTGCTATTCCAAGTAATATATTGCTTCTTTCCAACTCTTTCTATGAAACAAATAGAAATATATATATATATATATATATATATATATATATATATATATATATATATATATATATATCTGGCAATAACAAGTTATCAATCGATCAACTATGTTGTAAAAATCGGACCGGTGAGCGACCCGGTCATGTGATTGGGTCACGGGTCAACCCGGACCCGGAGGGTCAACCCGGTCAAAGCCGGAAAACCGGTCAACGATTATACGTCTATATAATAATAATAAACATATAATTATATACACTCTCATTATATATTTTTATTTGTATTGTACATTTATATTATAATTTGGCATGGTTTTCATTCTTAAATAAATATATAAATATATTACATAGTTTTTCTTTTTAGGGAATTGAAATTGCAATTTTATTGGTTTAAAAAATGAATTAAAATTAAAAAAGAAATTACTTTTTTTTTTGGAAAAGACTGAAAACCGGGTTTTCCCGGGTTTTCGGGTTTCTTGGGTCGGGTCCGGATCGTATTTTTTCGGGTCAGCCGGGTTTTTCCGGTTTTTGACCATTTTCGGGTTTTGAAGAAACCGAACCGAATTTTTGTCCGGGTCACCGGGTTCCGGGTCAACTCGGCCGGGTCGGGTCGGTTTTTAAACATAGTCGATCAGAGATCATTGTAAGAAAACGGGGTGGAAATGTCAGATTATTTTTGAATTATCAAAAGGTGAGAGTATTTTTTAAATGACCGCTAAAAGGCGAGTTTTAAAATAAGTTTGTGTTAAAAATTATTATTATATTCTACTTAATGTGAAACGAGCTATGTTATTGTACTTTAACTGTTATAGTATTTGAGACATTTTCAAGCACAATTGGTAATCGATAACTTAAATATAGTAATTGAGTAATTTTTTTATTAATCTGCAATCATGTGCAACACAAGGGTGAAAGATTTTATAAGGTCATTGTTGAGGTTTATTCCCGAAGATCCGAAAGCCCAACACAAGCCTTGGATATTGTAGGGATATTGGGTAGGGTTGATTGAAATGTGTGTAAAATATAAAATAGTGAAATGATATCCAACTCAAGAACTTACTTATATTCTGTAATTAAGCAATTACACTGAAACTACCCGAACGGTAGATGAATATGGGATTACAAGGATGGGAGATGTAAATCTATTGCTAAGCTCTGAGTATTAAAATGCTAACCCTTTACAATGATCTAAACATGGGTATTTATACTAAAATGGGGATGGGTAAGGTGGACACGTGGTCGAATCTGGTAGGCTATCACCTCTGCCATGTAAGCACCCATGCCCCCACTTGTTGCCGCCATGATCCAGCATTAAATGCGGCCTCCACTTGCTGATTGCCCGTTCGGTCAAGGTGTTCGGTGTGTGGGACCCCGCCATAGGTGATAATTTCTACCTGAAGTATCCCGAACGCCGATCGATACTTGGGCCTTGATACCTTGGCATAATCGTTACCCAGAATGTTCCAAGTATAAGTTTTATCCCGAATGCCGTTCGGGAGATCTTTGGGCTTGCTGCTTCTCCCCGGATTTGGGCCTAGGGATATTGGGCCTGGACCCAATATCCCAACACTAGTCCCCCACTTCCTATGTCTCGAACGGTAGTGAGCGCATAAGGAAGTAGAAGATTATTGCCCGAATGCTGTTCGGTTGATAGTATCGGATGGACTTCCGCCGGTTCCCGAGGCATGTTCTGACGGTTATTTGCAACTGCCGTTTCGCTTCTCCGATAAACGTCATGATTACTTGAGAAGGATTCTCTGTGCGACACGTGTCTCTGTCATCATTACAAAAAACGTGTCCTCTTCTGATTGGCAGCTGAATCGGCGTGACAGAGTATAAATAGGCTCTTCTGGTTTTGATTCTGGGTTTCGAAACTTTGCATCTCCGGCTTATAATTCATCCTTCTCTAGAGCTTCATCCGTAGCTTCTGTTCAGGTATCCTTCGAGTTTCCTTCTACTGTTTAGTTCCCTCGTTCGGTGAGAATGGCACCCCTTCGTTCATCTGAACTCTCTACCTCCGGTACTGTAATTCCAGAAGAAAACCCCAATGATACGCTGCAAGTTGTCCGTATTCCGGCGGAGGTTAACGGCGATGATTCCTCTTCCTCCGATGTTTATTCTGATGGCACCAAATCGGGGGATGAATTGGAGGTTATGGAAGCCGGCCCTCCAAGCGGCGTTTCCTGTCATAAGCTTGACCTAGCTCTTATTAGGTTTAGGCGCCAAAAGCTCACGGCCCAGAATCGGGCCCAAATTCAGATGCTAATTCCTGATTCGGTGGACTTCCGCCTTCAATCGGGTCTTCACCCAATGCGCCACTTCCCAGGGATGGTTGTGGTCCATTTCGACTCAGTCAAGGCCGGCCTTAGATTCCCACTTCACCCCTTTTTTGTCTCCCTTTTAAATTTTTACAATGTAGTACCAGCCCAAATAATGCCGAACTCCTACCGGTCGATAGCTGGTTTCATTTGTCGTTGTCACAGTGTCGAGGTCACACCCACTCTAGAGCTTTTCCACTATTTCTTTTCGGTTATCCCTCAGCAGTCCCACGGCTTCCTGGTGGTAAGCTCCCGTCCAGGACATATTTTGTTCTGTGATGCCCCTTCTTCCATTAAGGGTTGGAAAGATAGGTTTTTCTTTGTCTCTGTCCCGAACGGTTTGATTCCTAGGAAGTGGAACGCATTTCCTCCTAAATCCCCCGAGCCATTCATCTCTGAGGAGCTTAGCCAAGATGTCATTGCTGTGGAGGCAGGAGGCTGTTTCAAAATCATGTCTTACCTGACTCCCGAACGGCTAATTAGGGCCGGGATAGGTACTGCCCGTATTCCTGGACCTACTTGACTGAAAACCAAGTACCATGGCCCGGGCGGTCCTTCCCGTGTGATAGTACTATAAATCCACGTGTGAACCGCTCGGTACTAACTTGTTCCTTTGTTATCTTTTCAGCTCTAAAGCAAGGCGAATCTTCAGACTCCGAAGGAGCCAATCCCGAACAACCGGCTATGGATGACAGCAGGCTTTTCACTGTTGGATTTGATGACGAGCCACCAACCTCTCCTCCCAAGCAGCAGAGGAAGACAAAGAGGAAGAGGTTGAGGAAGGCCGATCAGGGGACATCCTCCCAATCCGCCCCCGTCGTCCCCGAGCAGTCTGAACCTGTTCGGGATGTAGAACCTGTGCAGCAGGTTGCCCCTGAACAGCAATCTTCACATGCTGATATGCTGATGGATCAGCTCTTCTCTGATCAGCAGCCTCACCACTTTTCCGCTGAGGAACTGGCCGCCAACCAGGCTGATTTGGCGAGCCAGTTTGAGCAGATCTCCCTTCAAGATCCCGCTCATGGAATGCTGGAAAGGGGAGGCTGTCCAGCAAGCCAGATTTGGTCCACCTCGGGCTTCCTTAATGGGCATAACCTTCCTCCGATGCCGGTCGAGGAGGCCGAAGAGTGTATTGCCTTGGCTGCCCTGAAGGTAACTTCTTATCACCCCTCTTTTTTTTTTTTTTTTTTTTTTTTTTTTTTTTTTTTCGGTTGTTCATTAATTTACCAGGTTCTCATTTCTTATTTGTACTCGATCAACAGGTAGGGATCTACAGCCTGAAACTCAGAGAGGCCAGGCAGGCCAAGGAACAAGGGCTGCTGATGGCCAAGGAAACGGCTGAACAGGCATCAGAGGCCGAACGCCGGGCTTTTGCCGAGGAGCGGAGGAAGCTAGAAGCTGAGGCTGGGGAGCTTCGTGTCATGGTGGGCTCTCTCCAGGCCAAGATCGCGGCAGCTGAGGCCGCTCAGGTCAAGTTTTCTGAGGCCCCTCCTCAAATCCCGGACGGCCCGGCTGAAATGTTAGTTGATCTATCTGCCGTTCGGGATCAATTCAAAGCTTCCGAGGAGTTTCTGGCTCTCAAGGAAGAATACGCCACCGAACAGCTCCCTGCTGTTTTCGGGAGGCACTTGGAGAAACTGGCCGGAGAAGAGCGCCAGAAGGAGGGGATCAGGGTGCTTGATCAGCATTCTGTCACCAAGGAGTGGGCTGAAAACTTCGCCCGCGGGGTCTACAGCTCAGGTTGCCAACATATGCTTCAGCCTCTCCTCCCCCTCATAGAAAAACATATGGGCCGAGCGGTGCAACCCTCTGACTTTCCCGCTGATCTTCATCCCGATCATCTGAACGCCCTGATGGCTCAGATGAAAAAGTGCCGGCGAGCCCTGGGGATGGATGTGGTGCAAATTGTTGACGAAGCTGATGATGAAGAAGATGATGAAGAGGGTGAAGATCATCCCGAACAGTAGATTAGACATTATCTGTATTTCCTTTCCTTTGAATCAGTAGTTTTTGTACTTTCCGGCCAGTAGAGCCGATGAATATACAATTTTTGCCTGCTCATCTCGTCTTTGTGACTTACTGTACTTCATATTTGTTTTTCACCTATCAATTTGCCTCTGTAATACGTTTCAATGTTGCTTTGTTGATCTCCGTAATCTGAAGCGATCAGGTCTCCGGTTTGCGTCACCCCTTCGCTAAGTCCAGAATTTAGGATTTTAATATTGATCGACCTGTTTATTCGATATCATTCATAATGAACTCCATAGTTCATTATGGAGTATAAACTATGTTTCTTCCTCTGTTCGGGGTATAAACTCCTGTACTGGGTACAACCATCCTGTACTGGGTACTATGTTTTTTTTTTTTTTTTTTTTTTTTTTTTTTTTTTTTTTTTTCCTCCCCATCTGTTCGGGGTATAAACTCCTGTACTGGGTACAACCATCTTTTTTTTTTTTTTTTTTTTTTTTTTAACTAGTTGGTAATTGTGTTCAGCATTCGGGATGTAGTGTTACCTTCTTCGTTGCATCTGCCAGATTTTTCCATGTAAGCTAACCATACTGTTCGGGTACACCGATCATTCTTCATTACATTTGGGTGTATCCCGTTCGGGGAAACACTTGTAGCCTTTTTCTTTTTCAATTGTAGAGGTTCGTGAACTTTGTTGACTTCAACCCGTTCGGGTGTTCTCTTATCCCAAAGGATGCTTTAACTTCTCCCAACCGTCTTGACACTTGTCAGTTATTCATTTGGATTCTTGGCGGTACCATCTCCTTATATAAGGATGTAGCTACTTTGTTTCAGTTTTTTCTGCTGCTTCTGAATTCCTTCAAGCTTTCTCTCTCTAGAATCTTCTCTGTTATTTTATGTCTGCCTTTTCTGGTTCGTCAGATTCCGAAGAGATGGTGTCCACTCTGATTCGCCATTCGAGGGGAAAAGCTCACCCCAAAGATCAAGGCACATCTACCCGATCGTCGGGTTCTAACGGGTCTTCTTCCTCACTTCATCCCGAACAGCCCCTCCCTGATGATGGATGTCAGTCGGGGGATGACCTTGTAGTTTACGAAAGGGGTATGCCTGAACGCCCCCCTCGCTATAGTCTGAACTTCCACTGCATCAGGAAACAGCGTCAACGCCTTCCTGCAGATGCCGAACAGATGCTCCGCCAACTATTACCGCCACCCCGTCAGTTTTATGCGGGGTATATTAAGCATCCCATGCGGCATCGTCCGGGATGTGTGCTGGTTCACATGGACGCGCTGATCGCCGGTCTACGGTTCCCGTTGCACCCTTTTATTGTGGAGTTCCTTCGCCGGGTCTCAGTACTGCCAGCACAGTTCGTGCCTAGCACTTATAGGATCCTGAACGGTTTTATCGTCTGGTGCCATGAGTTGGGGATTGCCCCTAGCGCCGACCTCTTTTTGCACTGCTACGGCGTCCAGCCCTATTGGACCACCGGGTACCTGCGGCTTGTCGCCCGCCCTGGCCGTTCGCTCTTCACCGACAACCCCACCCCGCCGGGGAAATGGGAGGAACGATTTTTGTTCGTTCATGTGGGGTCGCCGCTTCCTTTCCCTGATCGGTGGAACACCTACCCCGTTCAGGATGCCTCCCCAAAGGTGGACGCAGATATTGTCTGTCAGTACGAAAGGCTCCGTCTGGCCGGTTCCAAGAACCTACGGTCCTTCTTGACTCCTGCTAAGATGCTAGCTGCTGGCATTGGTATGTTTCTTCCCTTACTTTGTTCGTTCGGTGTATTTTTCAACCTCTTGTTCATTTTTCTTTGTTCTTTCCTGTAGGTGTGATTCCCCCCGTCTCCATAAAGCGTCCTGCTCCTACTCCTTCCTCCACCGCCATAGTTAGCAAGGGAAAGGAGAAGGCTATTCAGTCAGGTTCTTTGGCTGGCCGGGAATCTGGGCCAGTAAACAAGCGGCCGAGAATCGAAAGCAGCGGCGCCTTGGTCCCGATTGACCAGGTCATTGACCTGACGGATCCTTCTGTGGAAAGGATGCCCATGGTCCCCTCCCCTTCAAGGAAGCTGGGCGACAGGGGAGGCGTTGCTTCAGGTAGTCTCCCGATCCCCGATCGGTTGACGGTGGAGTTTTCCGCCATGGGTCCCCGAGCCGAATGCCGGACGCTGTTCGGGCAGACTGCATCCTCCATGTGGTGCAGCACTTCTTTGAAAGCTGGCGAGGGCTTCACCAACTTGACCCATTGGTCTGATTTGGTCGAAGCAGGCCATGCTGAGTCCCTTAAGGTATGCCTTTGACCGTTCAGTTCTTTCTTTTTATAACATTTTTTGAACTTGTTCTTACTGCTGTTTCTTTTTCCACAGGCCGGTACATACTATCACCGGGCCTTCCTAGCAGCTGAACGGGAGATGACCCTCCTTCATCAGGAGCTGGACGAGAGCCAAACCCTTTTGGCTGCTGCTAGGAAAATGGCTGCAGATCTCCAAGATCGAGCCAACAAGGGTGACAAGGCCAGGGCTGAATTGGCCGAATTGGAGCAGAGGCTCCATCGTCGCGATCGGGAGATCCGGGCGCTGAAGGACAAGATTGCTGCTGCCGAAGCTGCTGGTGTTAAGTTTAAAAAGACCCAGCCTAAAGAGGGCGGACAGCCAGCAGCACCCGTTCAGGCCGATATTTCTAGAATCACTCAGCAGGCAGTGATTGATTTCCAAAGGGGTAAAGGTTTGAACGTAGCCCTGAAGGAGACTGCCCGGGAGTTCCTTGGAAAGCATCTTGGGGAGTTCTTGAAGAAGAGTAAGGATCCTCTTCGTGACGGCCTCCAGCTCCTGGATGAGACCCCGTCCGGGACAGCCTTCGCCAATGCCCTAGCAAGGGACACACTTGTTAAGTGCCAGGATATGTTGGTCGACCGGAATCTGGAAGTGATCAAGGAATCATTCGATGAACCCTTTGACCCCAAGGAGGAAGGTTTCGACCCCTTATTCTGCCGTGCTTATCAACGGGTGATGGAGAAGAGGCAGAAGGCTAAAGATTCAGCCAATCCCCCGAACCCCAACTCGGATGCCGTGCCGAACAAGGATCCTCCCGTAGCTTAGTTATCTCTGTTGTAATCTCCTTTTCTTCTTCTCATGTATAATTCCCGGTCAGTAGTGCCGAAGAATAAAGATTGATCCGTTTCCGAATGACTTGCTTCCCGAACACTTTTTTTTTTTTTTTTTTTTTTTTTTTTTTTTTTCAACTCAGCCTCATGATTGAGATGTAAGCTGTTCGACCCTTCCCTAACACCAAAGTTGAGGTGCAAGCTGTTCGATTTATTTCCGTCTGTTGTTCTTTGTTTCCTGAACGCGCAAGACATAATGTTCAACACCTGCTGCGTCCCCGAGCACCATGTTTCAGATGCATGCCGTCCGGTTTATTACCGTCGACTGGTTGTTCCTTGAACGCGCAAGTCATCAATGTTAAATGCTTGCTGCGCCTCCGAGCACCATGTTTCAGATGCATGCCGTCCGGTTTTATTACCGTCGACTGGTTGTTCCCTGAAGGCTAGAGTAACCTGTTCGGGTTATCTTCCGCGGTATTCTTTATTCGCAAGGCAATCACCTCTTGCTGCAAGACAATTTCACAATTCGTGTAGTGTCTGCCATCTTCCAAGCCCATAATTTCGATGCATACCGTCGGTTTTACCGTCCGGGGTCATCCATATCATGAGGTTGAGATGTCCATCCTGGACCGTTGAGAATAAGGCTCCCAATTCGGGTCTCCCCCTTATTCTCTGCCAAAATGGAGACTCGCCTCCAGGATACAGCTCGGGTTCCACCACCATAAAGTTCAGACGAGCTGTATGCCCAAGGCAAGATTTTAAGACCAGAGTCCCGATCCCCCGCTCGGTCACCCTATGACTTCGGATGCCGCCCGGTTCGTCCTACTCAAGATCTTTTACACCATCTCCCAAGCCGAGTCCGGGCTTGGTATCCTGCACTTTTTTTTTTTTTTTTTTTTTTCTTTTTTTTTTTTTTTTTGTGCTGAGATGATGGCTCCCCATGGATCGAGATAAATGATATCTATAGATCAAGGTGAGACTTTTGGCCGAGTTTGTGGTGATGCCGTTCGGCATGTTGATACCGTTCGGCTCGCAATCTCCCTCTTAACTCTGGCCTCGTTGGAAACATTGTTCTCCCTCCTTTTTTTTTTTTTTTTTTTTTTTTTTTTTTTTGTCAGAGGTGGCAACAGCCGTCTTTTATTGATAAAATTTCCGCAAATGCGTAGCGTTCCATATCCCTGCCGGACGGCCTTCGGTATCCTGTAGTGAAAAGGTCCCCGTCCGGTATTTTTTCCAGATCCTGTATGGTCCCTCCCAATTCTTTGACATCTTCCCGCCCTCTAGCGGTTTGCTTTTTTCTCTATTCCTCAGGACAAGGTCTCCGACTTCGATCGAACGGATTTTAGCCTGTTTATCCACATACCTCTTAGTTGCCCGGTGATATTCCTCCATTCGTAAAGCTGAGAGATCCCTTCTTTCTTCTATGAAGTGGAGTTCAGCACGCAGATTGTCCTCATTCTGCTCAGGATCATAGTGGATGGTTCTGTGAGTGGGCACCAAGACCTCAGTTGGGACCTTAGCCTGAAATCCATAAGCGAGGGCGAACGGTGTCTCTCCGGTTGCTGTTCGGGGAGTTGTCCTGTATGTCCACAAGACGTAGTTTAACTGTTCGGGCCAGGTTGATGCGTAATCTTCGAGCTTCTTTTTTATACCATCCATGATGGTTCTGTTCATGTTCTCTACCTGCCCGTTCGCCTGCGGATATGCTACGGAAGCCCTTGAATGCTTGATTCCCCATCTAGTGAGGAATTCCTCGAAGTTCTTGCTCACAAACTGTCGTCCATTATCCGTGATGACCTGCTCGGGCAGCCCGAATCTGCATATAATATTCTGCCAAACAAAACGTTGACATTGAAAATCCGTGATACTGGCCAGGGGTTCGGCTTCCACCCATTTGGTGAAGTAATCAATCCCTACTATGATGCACTTCCTTCCTCCGGTCGCATTAGGTAGGGGCCCTAGCAAGTCGATCCCCCATCTAGCGAATGGTAATGATATGGTCATTGGAGTGTAAAAGGTCGCGGGCCGCCCAGGTACTGGTGCGTAGAGCTGACATATTTTGCACTTCTTTGTGTGCCCAAAACAGTCCTGCTGAATAGTTGGCCAATAGTAACCCTGCAGGATGATTTTCCTAGCCAGGGTTTTTGGCCCCTGATGGCTGGAGCAGATACCTTCGTGAATTTCTTCCATCACAGCGGCTGCCTGATCGGGTGGAAGGCATTTCAGATATGGCCCCCCGAACGTCTTTTTGTACAGCTGTCCGTCCACCAGTTCGAACATTGGGGCTCTTCGCTGTATACAAGTGAGGTTGTACACGTCATTTTTATCGTTCGGCAAAGTCCCATCCTTCAGGTAATTTGTCAAGTCAGTGACCCAGCTTGGAACGGCATAGGACACGGCATCTACCCGCACAACCATTGTTGCCGGTGTGGTCAGTATTTCTTTCTGTGCGAACCTCTGGATGTGTGCGGGGATGCCCGGGGCATGATCATCCCGAACGGCGCATTCCAGTTTGGATAGGATGTCTGCCTCACTGTTTTCGATCCTGGGAATCTGGTCAATCACCACCTGTTCGAACCTGCCGATTTCTTCCTCAACCAATTCCTTGTAGGCTTTTAGCCGTTCTTCCCTAACCTCGGCAGATCCATTAATCTGGCTTACCACCAGCTGACTATCCGAACGGACCTTTAATCTGCTGGCCCCCAGGGCCTTGGCATACTTTAAACCAGCGATAAGGGCCTCATACTCGGCCTCATTGTTGGTCACCTTGAAGTCAAACTGTACGGAGTAGTATGCCTTGAACCCCTCGGGGCATGTGATCACAGCACCCCCACCACAGCCTTTGCTGCTGGATGCTCCATCCACATACATTTCCCACCAATGGTCCTGTACTCCTCCGTTCGCTCCTTCTTCAGTTGATCTGGCAGTGCATTCGGCAATGAAGTCAGCCAAAGCCTGTCCCTTGATCGTGGGGCGAGGCTTGAAGTCTATTTCATACTGCCCGATCAGGAGGGACCACTTGGTGATACGCCCACTTGCCATAGGATTTCTCAGTATGGTGGCCAGGGGCTGGGTGGTGTAGATGGTGACTGGGTGGGCCTGGAAATAGGGTGCCAGTCGCTTGATGGTAGCAATCAATGCTAAAATGGTTTTTTCCAGTAGGGTGTACCTGGTTTCTGGCCCGTTCAGGGCTTTGCTCACAAAGTATATAGGGCGCTGAACGCCCTCATCTTCCTTTAATAAAACAGAGCTGACCGCCAGATCAGCCACAGCCAGATACATATAGAGATGTTCCCCTGGGTCTGCTTTAGTTAAGACCAGGGGGGAAGACAGGTACAATTTGAATTCTTCAAAAGCTGCCTGACATTCTGCTGTCCATTCGAACGGGTTGGCCTTTTTCATTATTTGGAAGAATGGAATGGCGCGATCGGCCAGTTTAGCCATGAAACGGCTCAAAGCCGCTAACCTTCCGGTCAACTTCTGAACTTCTTTCAAGTTCCGCGGTGCTTCCATGTCCATGATTGCTTTTACTTTCTCAGGATTAGGCTCAATCCCCCGCTCGCTCATCATATAACCCAAAAATTTGCCCCCCTTGACTGCGAAGGCGCACTTTTTTGGATTCAGTCTCATGTTGGCCTTCTGCATGATCCCGAAGACCCTTTCCATATCCCGGACATGATCCTCCTTCTTTCTGCTCTTGATTAGGATGTCATCTACATATGCCTCCATGGTTACCCCTAGTACCTCTTTGAAAAGTATGCCGATCATCCTTTGAAAAGTGGCCATTGCATTCTTCAACCCGAACGGCATGACGATATAGCAGAACACGCCGTCCGAGGTGACGAACGCAGTTTTTTCTGCATCATCTGGGTGCATGAAGACTTGGTGATAACCCCGGAAGGCATCCATAAAGCTCAGCAGTTCACATCCTGCCGTTTCGTCCACCAGCAGGTCTATTCGTGGGACAGGATAGGGGTCCATGGGGCAGGCTTTGTTCAGATCAGAGTAGTCCACACACATTCTCCAAGTAGCTCCTTTTGGAGCAAGGACCACATTAGCCAACCATTCGACATGGATGACTGGTCTAATGTGCCTGATCCTCAGTAAGGTGGCTACCTCCTGCTTTGTGAATTCCCGCCGTTCGGCCGCCTGATATCTCTTCTTCTGTTGGACTGGCCTGGCATCAGGCCGAACGGCCAACTTGTGGCAGATGAGGGCCGGATCAATTCCCGGCATGTCTTCGGGTCCTCGGGCAAATAGGACCTGGAATCTCTTCAGGACAGCGATCACCCCCTCCCTGATTCCCCCTTCAAGGTCCACCCCGATCGCAATCTTACGATCGGGAGGGGAATCAAGCTCGATGTATTCTAAGAGGGTGGCTGGCTCGGGGCGTCCCTCGAACTCCGTACGCCGGGTCTGTACCTCAATGCTGTTTACCCGCTGTCCCCGGGTGGTCATTTGTTTCAAAGCTTCCCGGTAGCACGTTCGGGCTATGGCAGGATCTGTTCGAGCCACTCCTACACCAGTGTCAGTTGGGAATTTGATGCATGAGTGTCGAACAGAGGCAATTGCCTCCAAATCTTCTAGCCCCGGACGGCCCAATATGGCATTGTGGGCACATGCAATATCCACCACCACAAACGTCATCCGGACTGCCGCTCGGTGAGTTTCATCACCAATTTCCACCAGAAGCTGGATGGTGCCCTCTGCCTCTATTACATTGCCGGTGAAGCTAGCCAGCGGTGTCTTCAGCTTGGTCAGCTGGTCCTTCTTTAGCTTCATCTTCTCCAACGTGCGTAAATACAGCACGTTCACACTACTTCCCGTGTCCACCAGAACTCGGTGGATCAAGGCGTTGTCTATACACATACTCACCACTAGCTCGTCCCTGTGCGGACTTGGTGAGTTGGGTAAATCAGCCACCCCGAACATGATTGGTTCTAGGCGGCCCTTCTTTGTGGGAGGTGCAGCTACAGTGGCGACATAGAGCTGCGCTCAAATTTCTTGCGTTCGGCGGCCGTATCCCCGGTCTCTCCCCCGCCAAAGATGACTTTCACCTCCAATCGTGGCTTTTTCCCTGGATTCCCAGACCCCTCAGCCTCCTCTATAGGGGGAAGGTACGAATCATTACTGGGTTCCGCATCCCGCTGGGCATCCCGCTTCCAGCTATTGGATCGGGGAGGGCGCTGATTGGGGCTGTTCAGGCTGGTGCTGACATACTTCCTCAGGTAGCCCTTTTGGATCAGGTCCTCAATTGCCACATGTAGGGCGTGGCAATCCTTCGTGAGGTGCCCGTTCCGTTGGTGGTATCTGCAGTAGGAGCTTGGGGTAGGTCCCATTACGGGCCTTGTGTCAGTAGGGGGAGGAATGGCGTTATGTTCCAAATGGAAAACACCAGCTATAGACATGACCAGGGGGGTGAAGCGCGTAGTCCTTCGATGAGGTGCTGCAGCCGCTGGTGTGGGTCCCAGACGTTCTGCCAGTCTTGAAGTGGGAGGTTGCGGGGCCGTTCGGTCCCTTATCCTGATCTCTTCTTCCAGGGCCGCATAGTTCCTGGCCCTTTCCAGGATGTCTGGGTAGCTGGTCCCCGGATTCCTCTTCAGCTCCCTGTATAAATCTCCCGTCTGAAGGGCATCGGTGAAAAGAAGGATGGCCGTCTCATCTGTCATGCCGGTCACCTTCAGGGTTTCGGTCCTCCACCTGGTGAGGAATCCGGAGATTGATTCTCTAGGCCCTTGCCTCACACTGGTTAGATACCCGAAATGTAATTTCGGGGTAGTGCTGGAGGCGAACTGAGCCAAGAACAAGGTGGATAGCTCCGCAAAGCTCCCGATCGACCCGGGTTGTAATGTTCCGAACCATTCCTGGGCTGGTCCCCGAAGGGTACTGAAGAACAGCCTGCATATTGCCGCGTCGGTGGCCCCCAATAGCATGAGGCCACCCTGGTAACTCCTCAGGTGTACGTGGGGATCTCCCACCCCATCGTATGCTAAGCCGGTCGAGGGACGGCAGTCCTTCAGGATTTCGGCGTTCATGATTTCCCTAGTAAAGGGAGAGGTGATCCCAACCCGCGCTGGCGGGGTTTGTTGGGGCGTCCGATTGACCTGCTCTCTGAGCTCAGTCATCTGTCTCCTCATTTCGGCCATTTCGTCGTCTTGGGCCGTTCGGGGAGTGTGTGGTATCCGAGCATCCACACATTCCGGTATTCTGTTCTGGGGAGGAGCAGCTATGTTAGCCCTCCTCCGGATGAAGCGTTCCCCATCCCTCTGGATATATTGGAAGTTTTGTCCAACGGGATCTATCATGGGGGTAGGTTCCCTGTATCCGTTTCGAGGGGCGGACGGGGTTCGGCTGGTTGGTGCTCCTCGTCTGGGGGTATGGGCCCTCCAGTGGTTCCTGCGGCGTTCCTCGGAATGAACTGAGGCCATCGTAGTCTCGATGTCCTCCTCTTCGTCAAAAGATGGCATGGGACGCAACGGGGATGGTGGCTCATGAGTTTCATCCGTGTAGCCCCGTTCCTGTTCGTCCGCCATGCGTTGCATGGCCTCCGCCATATCCCTCATCAACTGAGGGTTCATCCTTACATCCTGGGGGATGATTTGCTCGAACTCCCGGGTGGCACTGCCACTGGCGTGTCCTTGCCTGGACCACCCCTCAGAGGATCTATGGCCTCCTCGTCCTCTGGATGCAGAACTCGGTGTAGCGGTATGAAGCCTAGCCATTTCAAAAAATGGTGCTTAGATCAGCTGTTTTCCTTGAACTTTTAGTTTCGTTTCCCACAGACGGCGCCAATGTTGAGGTTTATTCCCGAAGATCCGAAAGCCCAACACAAGCCTTGGATATTGTAGGGATATTGGGTAGGGTTGATTGAAATGTGTGTAAAATATAAAATAGTGAAATGATATCCAACTCAAGAACTTACTTATATTCTGTAATTAAGCAATTACACTGAAACTACCCGAACGGTAGATGAATATGGGATTACAAGGATGGGAGATGTAAATCTATTGCTAAGCTCTGAGTATTAAAATGCTAACCCTTTACAATGATCTAAACATGGGTATTTATACTAAAATGGGGATGGGTAAGGTGGACACGTGGTCGAATCTGGTAGGCTATCACCTCTGCCATGTAAGCACCCATGCCCCCACTTGTTGCCGCCATGATCCAGCATTAAATGCGGCCTCCACTTGCTGATTGCCCGTTCGGTCAAGGTGTTCGGTGTGTGGGACCCCGCCATAGGTGATAATTTCTACCTGAAGTATCCCGAACGCCGATCGATACTTGGGCCTTGATACCTTGGCATAATCGTTACCCAGAATGTTCCAAGTATAAGTTTTATCCCGAATGCCGTTCGGGAGCTCTTTGGGCTTGCTGCTTCTCCCCGGATTTGGGCCTAGGGATATTGGGCCTGGACCCAATATCCCAACAGTCATATATATCCAAATGTGGAGGATAATTTTATGATCATATTTTGAAATATTTTTATGGTCATATGTATTTTATTTTTCTAATATTTATAACTTACATTGTTAAAAAATTATAAATTATATCCCGTGCAACGCACGGGTGAAATACTAGTACTTCTTAACACCTCTTAATTTTTCTCCTAAATAACCATTTGTATCAACACTTATTCACACTCCCACGCCAACAGTCAATCAAACAGTTGTGGCGCATGGTTTGCCATATCCCGCCAAATCACCGGCCAAAACAGTGCCCTCTCATGTTCCAACGCTAAACCCTATTTTAATTTTCACGCTGCTAATTTTTCTTTCTCATTTGTCGTTTCTTCGATCAATTGATCAAGCCAGTGATGTCATTTCCTTTCTCTGTATGCGTTACGTGTTTCCTGAGTTTGACCTATACCTCTTACTTTGTTGTATGATTTCGGATATTCGCTTTGTGCAGATGAGAAGCGTCGAGAAGTTGCCTGAGGATACTCGTAGCGCAGTCCGTTCTGGAGTTATCCTTTACGACTTGACGAGGG